ACCCTGAGCCGGTGAGATTTGAACCGCTGAACTGCTGATCTAGCAGTAGCCTGCAGTGCTGCATTTAACCACTGCGCCACCTTGGCTCTTGAATACAGGCAGTCCTCGATTTACGACAGTTTGTTTAATGACCGTTCAGTTACAACGGCACTGGAAAAAGTTGAACTTACAACCATTTTTCACACTTACGACCTCCCCAGCATCCCCACGGCCACGTGATTAAAATCCAGACGCTTGGCAACAGGCCATTGATGACAGGTTTCAGTGTTCTGAGGCCACGTGATCCCTTTTGCAACTTTCTGACAAGCAGCCAATGGGGAAGCCAGATTCACTTAACCACCGCGAACAAGACAAGCCGTACCAAGGGGGCAAAACTCACTTAACAAATGTCACACTTACTGGCAATAAATTTTGGGCTCAAGTGGGGGTCGTAATTCGAGGACTACCTGCATTCTAAAATATTCCCTTTAACCTTCTGGGAAAGCGGGCAAATTAAGAACACGGACAGAATCATAGTAAACGAGGCAACTAAAGGCTGATGTAGGGAGCCCACTGCCACACAGGTAAGCAAGTTCCATTTAGGTGTCAGTAAAGAGACAAAAGCTTACCTGGAGTGAGCCATCTGTTCTCCCTTTAGCATCTCTTGAATTGCGCTGACGGTTGTCTGTCCTTGACTGGTCCTCGTTTCCTGCATGTCAAATTTGGACTTTAGGAAAGTGACTTTGTTAAGAGATTGAGGCTGCCTCTCCATCTTTATCTGCGTTTTTATTTTTCTTGGCCATTTGAACAATATCCTTCGGGCGCTGTTGTGCCGTGATTCCCCGAAAAGACGACTGGGTCTTAATTTTTGCCCCAAAAGGGGCTTATTTTCCGTTTGTTTTCAGGAAAATACGGTACTGAATGCATCCGTCTGGTTGATGATCTTAAACTGGGCCTTATTTTTGGGGTAGGAATTACATAATAAGCATCCTGAAAAATCATGCTAGGGCTTATTTTCCAGTTGGGTCTTATTTTGGGGGAAAGAAGGTAGTATATAAGCTAATACAAATATTACTATTAGCTATGGATTTCTTTCCTCCCTTTTCATCGCTATGTTACATTTAAAGCTGCCCGGGAAAAACTTAACTGCATGTCAGCTGCCTTTCATTCATAATTTGCGAGCGATCCATTCCCACTGAGATTATCTCATGAAGGATAGGAGCCCGAGAAAGAATTGTTTTGTTGTTAATCATGGCTATTAGGTAAGCAAACATTCTACCGAAATGTGGACTCTCCTCAGGAAGCCTCAACGATATTTCTGGACATTTTACAGGACCAAAGTAAAATGTAGGAGTAGCAGCAATTCGGCCTTCCAATCTTAATCAGAGAAGAGCAGCTAAGATGAACAAAGGCCTGGAGACTAAACCGTATGAAGAACGGCTGCAGATTGTGAGTCTGGCTAGTCTAGAGAAAAGAAGCACTGGAGTTGACAGGATAGCACCATTCCAGTAGCAGTAGCAATAGCAGTTAGACTTATATAGCGCTTCATAGGGCTTTCGGCCCTCTCTAAGCGGTTTACAGAGTCAGCATATC